GAGTCTAACCATTGTTTATTTGTTTTCAAGGTTGCAGCATGTCAATAGTAACACTGCAGATAGGTCAGTGTGGCAATCAAATAGGTGGGGAACTCTTCTCTACTATCTTAGAAGACGCCTTCGGGAAAGCCAGCACTGTATCCAAGGCTGACAATGAGGCGTACATTGATGAGGTTCTAGAACGTTTTTTCCATCGACCGGATTCAGGGAAAAGAAATGAGGTCATTCCACGTGCCCGAGCTGTTATGGTTGATATGGAACCTAAAGCAATAGCACAGTCTATGCTGGATGCTAAAAAGAGTGGTAGGTGGGTCTATCCTAAAGGCCAACAGTTCTGTCAAAAACGTGGTTCTGGCAACAACTGGGCCCATGGATACTGCAAACATGGTCCGCAAGCTCAGGAAGCAGTCATGGACATGGTTCAACGTGAAGCTGAGAAATGTGATCGAATGTCTGGATTCTTAGTGTTCATGAGTCTTGCTGGTGGTACAGGTTCTGGTGTTGGAGCATACATCACAGAGTGTCTACGAGATCACTTCCCACACTCATTTATCACAAATCAGGTTGTCGCACCCTACAACACAGGGGAAGTGATTGTACAAAATTACAATGCATTACTGACACTGTCACACTTGTACCAATCCTCTGATGCTCTTCTCATCCTGGAAAATGACCAGGTGCATAAAATATGTATGCAACTTCTAGGAATCAAGAACATCTCTTTCCGAGATATCAACAAAGTCATTGCTCATAAATTGGCCAGTGTGTTGCAGCCAGTAAAGCCTATAGGCTCTAATTTTCCAAGTTATATGCATAGCAACCATATCAGTGACATGTTGACATCAATAGTACCACACCCAGAGTATAAATTATTAACCATGAAGAATATACCACAGATGTCAGAAAGATCGATAGCTTACAGTACGTTTACGTGGTCTGGCTTGTTAAAACATCTTAGACAGATGCTGATTGCGAATGCTGCCATGGAAGAAGGTATTTAATTTAATTTCTGACACACAAAAAAAAAATTGATTAAAATTGGTATAATGCATACTGTTCTGTCTGAATGCTATTGACATGTAGTGTTGGGATATAAGCTACAGGGTTGTAATCAGTATAACACTAATTACCATCATAATACTACTGTAAAAACTAAAAAATTTCAACCACTTTTAAGAAATTAGTTTAAAAAAAACAATTAATGTTGAAATTTTGAACTAGTCAAAAATAAAGATCAGTTATTACATAAACATTAAATGCCCTACGTAGTAAAACACAATTTTTATTCATTTGTGGAAAGCCTTTGATACCATCAACCACTTTATCTTGTTGCAAAAACTATGGTTTTCGAGGTTTAATCCTATTTCCAGTTACGTAAGCATTATGTAAATGGAGTCTGTCAGATAGCCAACATATTTTATGCAGGGTCCCACAGGGCTGTAATTTACATTAAGGATATATGTAATTCATGTAATATTCAGACTTATCATCATAGACACTAATTTATATTTTTCATACGTCAAATCTCAACTTAAAGTCACTGATTGGTGTAATACAAATAAGCTGACCATCAACACTGAAAAAACAAATTACATGATTTTTAAAATGACCAAGTCCTGTTAACATTGAAAGGTAACACACAATTAACAATAAACAGATTTAATATGTATCACATTCTATTTATTATAGTTCCCTAATATTGAAAGAGCATATTGGAAAAATTACACACAAAATAGGTTTACAGTTAAGTTACTTATTTCCAAAACATATTTTAAATGCTTTATAATTCCTCAATTTTGTTCCATTTAACTTACCATATTGGAATACGTTTAAATCTCTTATTGGCCCTCTGCTTAAATTACAGAAAGTTCTCCCTAATCGGATTTTAAAAAGCCTGTATCTACACATTTCTCCTTTTCCAGAAACTGTGCATTATAGACATTTATAAACTTTGTAAAATGTGTTTACATTCGATCTTAAAGTGCCTGTGAAATGCCTTCTATTTTCTGGTCCAAAATCATTTATTGGAACATCAATATTATTTTCTATGTTATATATTTCTATGTTATTAAGTACAAAAAAGTGAAAAAAATGGGTTTCAAAATCAATCTATGCCAATTTTATTTTTAATGTATTTTAAAACGAGGCTTCTCATTAGCTTATCATTTGCATACACAAATACCCCTGGTGACGTATGCAGGGAGAACATGCTGGTTAACGTCCATTGCCACTCATGTACCTGTTCCTTGAGGAAGAGTGGACCATAAAAAACATGTATTATCAAGTTTATCGTGTAGGGTTGAGTTAAATACGAAATATATCCCTTCTGGCATAACTGGTCGTCGCAATCACAGTCTCTTGTATTTTGGTCGATGATTCGGTTAAAGTGCCAACACGATCTCTATTCTTAGGTCGATGTTGTCGAAATCGAGTTTGATGTCTGGCCTGTCTTTTAGTTATTTGTCAGGTTACTGAGTATGTTCATACACATCAATTGTTTAAGTAAAAACAAAAGATTCAAAATAAAAATAAAAAGAGATACTGTTTGAACATTCTAAACATTGAACTATAGTGATCAATGAAATAAAAAATTGATATAATGAGTCAATGATTCGTAATCACAGTTGTCATGTTGAAATGGATGAACGCGTTGGGTCAGGACGAGGAAAAGTGAATGGTGGTGTTTGATTGGATAACAAAAATGATTGAGAGGGAGACACAGCAAAAAATCAGAGTTTGATTCAAGTTATGATTGTCAAAATTAAGACATTACATGAAAAAACACATAATATCAACATATTGACAGCCCACTTATTACGCAAATCAAATTGCAGAACAAGTGTGAAGTCAACACCAATCACAAAACAATTCAGAAACTTTCAGACAGCAAAGTTAAAAACAATTGTCAATGTATGAGTGCTACGGAATTTACTTAAACATCATGAACTTGTAATAACAATTATTGTTTTTTTCTATTCAGGTATTGATTGGCAGGTCAAGGTGAAATCTAGCACATCGCACAGCTCAGCAATTCAACATAATAAGTCTATAGCCAATTTACTGTTACTACGAGGTAAAGATGTCAACACGGCAAATGTAGACGGCTTTCAAGAATCATGTCTCTATGCTCCTTGGGTACCATCAGATGCTGTATGCTCAGTCTGGGCCACCCCAAGGCCCTTCAACCTGTATGAAAAATCTGCAACTCTGCTCAGCAATAGTCAGTCACCAATCGCAGCACTCAACACGGTGGTTGGTAAAGCATGGAACATGTTTGCATCACGGGCATACGTCCACCAGTATATTAGATATGGATTGGCTGAAGAAGATTTTGTTGACAGCTTTGCTGGGTTAGAACAAGTCATCAAGAGTTACTCAGAACTTTGATAATGTTTGATTACAACCACATACATCACTGGTAGCATAGTGGTTATCACATCAGACTCGTGATCGGTAGACCCAAGTTCAAATCCTACTTCAGGCTGAACACCAAAAGCGTCGACCCCTACCTTGGGTGAGTGTGCCATAGACTCAATGGGGAGACCAATTCCACTGGCCGAGATTCATTCACTAATGAATGTGACTTTGGGGGGAACCTTGGTTAAGTTCCGCAGGTGCTTGTGTTCGACCGAGCCTGGTTGACGCCTGGATAGCGCATTAAATTGCCATTTGACAGAGAGATGGCCACACAGCCCTGTCATGTAGTCCCAAAACATGAATATGACTTCTGTGGTCAAAAATGCACTATATGTCAGCACTTGCAACTTGCACATACAAAAAAAAGTTAGAAGAGACAACAGTGACATTCAATGTCCAGAACTGTCATCTGGCACAAAAACAAACAAAAAACAATCAATAATTTATTGAATGCTTTAGTGCACAAACAGCATACAAATAAAATTCAGTATACACATCTCACGCCAATAACCTTACATAATATTATTTCTCTTTATAATGCACTGCATTTGTCTATTGACTGATAAAAGCAACCAATGTATTTTGTATTCCCAGTCTCATTAATCAGTAGATCTTACATTGATGTATGAGGTGATCGGAACCAAAACATGTGAGCTGCACTGGCGACTCATGTTTAAATCAATGCTGAGATAGAGTTGAAACATCCATACAACGCCATTCAATCATTGATATTAATCTCAATTTCACAAACTGTATAAAGTTTCAATTTCAAACTACAATTTACTATGTGACATAATAATTATTTAGTTATAATGAAATGAATTAAAACTTGGCACATGCATACTGTGTGCTTGAATCTCGTATCAGTTTTCATCTACATGTTAATTTACGTACATACATATTTGTTTATATTTAATAACTGAAACTAATTCAAACTCGGTTCATTTTACTCATGCAATTTCTTCTCTGATGTTCTCTAGTTTCAATTGATCTGTATTGATTTGTTAGTTATATAA